TTTGAGTTTCTTATGTATTTGATGTAATGTACATAGGCATTCCACATATCCATAAAATAACAGATTTTTTTTTTTTTTTTTTTTCACGAAAGGTGTATATTCCCACAATTAAAAACGAAAAAAAGAAAAAGAAAAAAAAAAACATCCGTACACTCAAATCTTATAAAAAGAAAAGGAAAAAAAAAAAATAATAAAACAGGAAGCAAAAAAGAAAAAGAAAAAGAAAAAGAAAAAAGAAAAAAGAGAAGCAAAAGGAATCAGGACTTGAGGTAGTAATCAAGAAACTGGTAGATGGCCTGGAGAATTAGGATGATGAAACCAAAAATAGCAGCGCACAAGGAGATGATAGTCCATGGGCTTTGAAAGTACTCGTGTTTCAGAGTTGCGCAGCGTTCATTCCAGGGCTGGTTGCAATGCTCATTCACCTTCTTGTGCACCCAAGCCATGTGGGTATCCAAGCCCATAGCCGCCCCACTCCCCAGCCGATTGAACAAACCCGCCGCTTCTTTATCATTCCCAACCGCATTTGCCAATACCTGCTCGCCCGCCAGCACCGCCACATCTCTCTCATCGTCTATCAGATTACTCATCAAGATCACGAAAGACGTCACTTTGCGTCCAGCCTTCATGTGGAGTTTCTCGAACGCCATCACATTCAACAACGTGGATTCCGTGTTGTCGTCCACCATCAACCGCGGCAGCCACAACACGCCTCCTTTTGCATCGAAAAACACGTCCGTAAGGCTACCTGTCTTGCTCCTCTTGAATTTGATCCCCGCTTCACGAAGCTTCGTTGCGGGCGGAATCACCTGACACTCCGGATCTGAATGGCCAAGCTCCACGCTCCAGTCCGTCCGGTCAATCGGAGGATGCAATAACGATTCCTTATACATCTCCAAAATGTGCAAGCAGTCTTTCATTACCTCATTCCGGGGGATGTTCAACCAATTGGAAACCAGTTTTTTCAGATCCTGTGTGCATTTTGAACTATATAAGTGGAGTGAGTTGAGAGATGATTAAAAAAAAAGAAAGAGAAGGAGATGAATTTAGTTGCCTGCTGAGGTAGTTGTACATTACGATCTGCTATAGAATACAGCTTCTCAAGAAGCAGCATGGGTAGCTGATTCTCAAGCAGCAGCATGTCCTGTTTTATATCCGGACTGACATTGATTAGAGAGTCGGGGCAGTTGATTAAGAATCCCAGCATGAAACACCCATCCACAATCATGAGCTGCAAGAACTTGCCGGGGTCTTCCTTCCAATCTTCCTCAAGCTTATCGTATGATTCCATGAGCTCATCCAAAATGGTGGACACACCCCTCACAATGGATTCAACGTCCAACAGACATCGGGCCTTAAAAGAGTGGAACAGTTTTAGCTTCTCCAGTTCCATGGGTGACAGATGTTGCTTCCCGTGGTTGTATGGCCCCAATGACACCACCTGCGGCTCGTAAGCTTTGGGATGAGTTTGTGTCATGAAGAATGGTATTTTGTAGATGGAAAGAAGTTCGCTGCTTTGCTCTGCTTCCATGTTGAGGATGGCAGGGGAATCCAAGAGTTGATCCAGAGTGCCCTTGACCCGAACAACCATGTCAGCGTTATCCCCAATATTGTCATCTCTACCAAGCATGACTTGCAGCGATGGGTGTTTCTCCATTGCTTATAAAAATGCTACCAAAAACTTGCGCCTTCACACCGCAACCCTCATGGATATATATACATAAACTTAACAGGCGCAGCGCCAATCTTTGGTTTTGGTTGCATGAATAAAACTTGTCTTGACGTCCAAGAATGTGTCTCATTTCCTTCTCGCTTTTGCTTTTGCTTTGCTTTGCTTATCATTATTATTCTCATTTTGTAGCTCACTCTCTTCCCCTCAAACACCACCTGCCCATCATTGTTGCCTTCTTCTAATGTTTTGTTAATCAAACCTCTTTTTCATCGCTTTAGTACTTAATAATAAACCTTCGTTTCTTTTCAATTTAATTTTAAACCAACCATGTTCCAAATTTTAAGATTTACTCAACTTTTTAAAATGATTATGACTTTTAAGAACACCACCTAATCATGAATGGTTGGTTATTGAAGAAGACAACAGGCATGGGGACAAATTCACATGGTTGCATATCAAAAAAAAAAAAAAAAAAAAA